TGAAATTATCACTCATTTCTCTAGGTGTGCTCTTTTAACTGCTTAATTAATTTAGATGTGGGCATATATATTCAAATTAAAACACGATTTACTGTAGACGAGTTGAGTTATGGTTATAGACTTCTTGTTAAACACATTTTTATTGTAACTATCAGCTTCTTAAACAGGAATATTTAAAAATACCCGTACGCAGAATGTAGGTTGACAAAATGGCAGTATCTGTTTGAATTGATCCTTATTCTTTCTGTAAACACCAGAGAAGTCTTAGCAGTTATTTGTTCTGACAAGGTAGTACCACCTCTCTGGATGCAGTGCCTCCTGAGCTGTGCAGAGGTGTCAACAGGATGCTGGCAGCAAGGCAAGGGCACCCTGCTCCGAATTGCAGTGCCAGCAGCGTCCAGGTGGAAGCTGGATACCTACTAACCGGCCTCTTTTCTAGTGGAGGAGTTGAGTGAGAAGGCATTTATTTATTTATTTATTTACTTCTGTTCCTCCCTTGCAAAAGCAAACAAAAAATAATGAGGATTTTTTTCTGTCTTTATCTAAAGAATTCTTTTGTCTGGCTGAAATACATCATGAAGCTTCCTACAAAAATACATGTGCACGCAGAGAGCAAAAGAGAGGAAAAAAAAGCTGACAAGTCAGATTTGCATGCCCCTCTAACATACTCCTTCTGTATTTGCAGGGAGAACTAATCACCTTCTATTACTATTGGAAGAAAACCCCTGAAGCAGCAAGTTCTCGAGCCCATCGTAGGCATCGAAGACAAGCTGTGTTTCGGAGAATTAAAACTCGAACTGCTTCCACTCCAGTCAACACTCCCTCCAGGCCCCCCTCCAGTGAATTCTGTAAGTGGAAGCTAAAAGCAATGTGTTTATCTTTGTTTAGATGCAGGGAGCAACAGTAATGTAATGGTGCTGTACCCGCGAGGAAATGGAGTTCAGGCAGTTGCCCTCTCCTGTTCCTACCCCATTATGCTGGAATGTGGTAGGCGTCTTTGATCACCAAGTGCTTTGTGCAGTTTTTAAACATTAAAGCATCCTGTAAGGATGGAAACATTGCCCTGGTACTGAATTTCCCTGCTCTTTTCTTGGTTTTGTGTTGTATTTTCTCCAGGCTTATTGCAGTAGCAGGAATTAGAAAATGCAGAAAGAAGGAAGTCCCTTTCATCCTTACTTGGTGACCTGTACCTTCTGCTTCATCTCAGACTGTGCTGCAGCCAGCACTGTTGTGTCTTAATGCGTCTTGGAAGAACTTTGGCCTTGACTGAAGCAGAAGTGTCTAAACAAAGAATAATTATCTAAACCAGTGAAATGTACTGCGTTGCAAAGGGTTGTGATTAGTAATGTCCATCCTGATGGCTAAATTTTTATCCTTATATAAAAAAGGCTTGTGTTACCCTGTGAGTTTTAAGTCTTTCCATGGACTAAACCCAGCATGTTTCACGTGCTTTCTGAAGAAAAGGGACTATGTGGAAGGCAAAAATTGTCAGACTCGTATTAATGTGGGAGGGTAGAGGATGTGGTGAGGACAGAGAATCTGGAGAGGGTATTAGTGAGGTAGTAAGAAAAGGCTATTAACTTCTTGCTGAAATTGATAGGATTTATTGCTGATTTCTGTGTGCACAAGAATTGAGGATCTTGACTCTACAGCTCAGTCCAAGATAGTCAGCACTTCAGAGCACGTGTGGCTGGAAGGACCCATCCGTTTAGATCCAACTGCAGGATGAGAATAAAAATCAATTTAGTAAGAGAACAAGTTCTAGCCTGGTGTCAATTTTGCAGTCAGGGTTTAAACACCTGCAAGAATTAATGTAGAAATTATGGTAGTGCCAGCAGCTACTGTTATTAAATGGGACCCTGTGTCAATTTGAAGGGTAATGAGTTGATGACAAATGCTAATGGCAAGTACTATAGAATCTTTCCCTCACTATAAGCTGCATGTGTTAACAAAATATCCTCTTGGAACCTTTAGAAAAACAGTATTCTTGCATCATGGACTTCTTTTTCTAATTAAAGATGTGAACAAAAGAAGCCACGGGGCTTTCTGCTTGTGACAAATTATAGACCTGTTACGTTGTGAATTTATAGTAGTGGTGCTGGAAAAATGCAGTACTCTCAATAAGAAGGGATTTTAACCTGAGTTGTTTCAGAATATGGGAGAAGATACAGTTTTTGTGATGTCTGCAGATTTTCAGTGGTTTAGATGGTGCTTTTTAGCTCACAACCTTGAAACGGGCTAATTTGCTATGTGCTTCTTTTGCCACAAAGGAAAGTGACCCTTCCCATCTTCTCCACTTCTTTAAACATGACATTTAAAAACATGTAAGTTTGCCATGGGTTAAAAACTCTAAAGGAGCCTTGCAGTAAGGATTGGAAAGCTGGTATTATCCTTGTAGTACCTCTCATCAAAAAGAATCACATGTTTTTCAAGCAGGTACATTATATGTAAGCTTTGTTTCTTCCTCCCACAAAACACATCTAGCTCTTGGGTTAAATATAGCCGCTGTCTAACAGAGCGTGACGGCACTCCCTGTCTGGTTTGGGAGATGGAGTCTAGAAACAGAATAAAAAATGTCCATGGAATCTGGTAAAGTAGGATGTAGGTACAGAATATTTTATTTTAAATCAAAACAGATTCCTGAGTTAAATCTCCTTTCTCTTGAAAATTGTGCTTTTGGAACACAGCCTCTCTAAACCTGAGCAGTATTTGAATGACAAATTAACTGGAAAAGTTCTGTGTGCTGAATGAAAAGTTCTGTGGATTGTGTCACTTGGTGTGTTCCTGGAATTCTTTAATCTGTAGACTGATCAGGTCTGGCCTTGCTTAGTTTGCAGAATTGGAAATAGCGGCCATCCAAGGCAAGGTGGTTGTAAGAGGTACAAGATTTATGGGAGAGCTGTTATTATTAATGATTAGTTTAGCCCAGTAGGAGGAAATACAAAATCCTGCTGAGTTTTTCTTTTCCCTTTTCTTCTTCCTTTGTTCTTTACTCATTCAGTGGACTTGAGCTCGGCCAGTGAAGATGACTTCGACAGCGAGGACAGCGAACAGGAGCTGAAGGGCTACGCCTGTCGTCACTGCTTCACAACCAGTACGCACCCGATTCATTGCTGTGCTTCTCTCCTTTCTGCTACTGCCTAATTAATGTGGGTTCATTCAAGCAAGAGCAGTTCATGTGTGTGTGTACAGCTGTTCAAAAAAAAAAACCCAGGGTAGCATCAGCTAAAATATGCAGCATTCCTAGCAGGGTTCATCATGCTTTGCCATTGCAAATTACTGTTGCAGTGGCAAAGAATCCTGAGAGGTAGATATTTGTACAGGAAACAAAAATATCTTATGTAATCTATATAATCCATTTGTGATATAGCAAATCAGTATTGGACTGTGACTGTCACACACAAAACTTCTGCTAGCTCGCAGGTGGAGCAGAGGAGGCTTCTTTCTCTGTTTTCAAAGCTGTAGTTGCTGAAGTAAACAAATAGTTTGTAAATTGGACATTGAAGATGTGCACTGGAACACAGACTAAGCCTGGAACAGGACAGAGCTTTCCAGAAATTTCTCCAGCTTGTTACCTGGAGAAAAGCAGTTATTTCTCTAGTTGTTGTGAGCTTTTTAATGCAATGTGTTTGTGCTCAGTGTCTGGTACTTTGTGTATTTCTAAGCTGTTGCTTTTCCTTTCCCAAGCCTCCAAGGACTGGCACCACGGCGGTCGAGAAAACATTTTGCTGTGCACTGATTGTCGCATTCACTTCAAAAAGTACGGAGAGCTGCCACCCATCGAGAAGCCTGTGGACCCTCCACCCTTTATGTTTAAACCTGTCAAAGAGGAAGATGATGGACTTAGTGGAAAGCATAGCATGAGGACAAGGCGGAGTCGAGGCTCGGTAGGTTGAACAGCTTCTTCTGTAAAGAGGAGGTGGTGGAAAAAGAAGCTGAAATCTCTCTCCTGCAAGTTCTAATCAAACTTGTTATTTCCATCATTTTAATGACTGGCAGTGGACTGTCATCATCAGGAGCCACTTGGCCAGTGTATTGTTACAGATTTGGTACTAGTATGTATCCTTCCAGCTGGATCCTGTCAGAGCTATAAGCCCTGGGGCTTATTTTAAAGGAAGAGTTTCAACAAATTAAATACTACTCATGTGGTCTCCTCATATTACTGGAGTTAAAATCTCTTCCCTACAGAAAGCTGGAGTTTGCTCCTATGGTTTGTGTGCTCTGTTACAGAGTTTTTACTTGGGGTGAAATGCTGGGAGCCTTGCTGTGTGCAGGTCACTCGTGAGAGCTCTGGCAGCAGCTCCAGTTAATTTGATGTTTGCTTTGGGTTTTGGCTGATAGAAAGCAGCAGATACATTTATTTTCCTTGCCCTCCCTTCTCTGTCTTTCTGATCATGATGATATGATCATTGCTTCTAAATTTTGTGAGGCTACACTGTCAGGTAAGGTTGGCTTCACTGGTTTTATGGTAGCCAGTCATCCAGAAAACTGGGAGGGAAACAGCATTAATTATGAAATACACTCTGCACTGATTCCTTATTGTGTAGTAGCAGCACATTGAAACTGTGGTTTTAGAAACTGGTCTTGGCTGCTTGAATGCCAACAAACAGACTTGTGTTTTAACAGAACATGAGGGTCCCCCTCCTGCCTCATTCACTGGGTGGGTTTGCACGCTTGCAGATGTGTGCGTGTGCGATTCCTGAAGAAGATGAAGCATGAGAACAGCAGCAGCTTTGGAATGAATGTTGTTGTTGTTAGCAGATACTACTAAATGAAACAATTGCACTTAATGTTTTTGAGTGGGCAAATTAAGGATTTCCCTCCTTTTGAGTACAGATGAACTTTCAGGGGGAAATTGTAACCGTGTTAAAGCTCTTGGTTTTTCACTTTTCAGGCTCTTAGCAGGAGTGCTCCATCCACACCCCTGCTGTAAAACAGAAAAAAATGCAGAGGTTGGACAAATGCTGACTTTGATACACTTTTCTTTCTTAAACAAATAGATGTCTACACTACGTAGCGGTCGTAAAAAGCAGCCAGCCAGCCCTGATGGTAGAGCCTCACCTATTAATGAAGACATTCGTTCCAGTGGCCGCAACTCTCCTAGCGCTGCCAGCACCTCCAGCAATGACAGCAAAGCAGATTCAGTGAAGAAATCTACCAAGGTAAGATTTTCCCATTCTTGTTTTGTGTTAGGACTGGGCACCTGAGGCCTCTTCAGTCAGAGAAATGAGATGCAGATTCTAGGATGCCAGGGAATCTCTCAGTGACCTAGAAATTCCTACTTGTGTGGATAAGCAAAAAATGTAATGGTGCATCTGACTGATGTTTTGTTCCTGTGCATACGGATGTGTAGTGATAAAACCCATTTAAGTATCCCCACATAACCTTACTGCTCTCATGATAAATTAATCCTTCAATTTTGGATGCAAATGCAGGCATTAGGCTCACGGAAGTAATACAGATCAGAAATGCTATATTTGAGACAAGTAGACAGTTTGGGGGATTTTTTTTTTAAGCAGTACTTAATCTTTGTTTACAAAGGAATATGAATATTTAGTAATTGAGACTACTTCTGTTACTGTTTTTCTGTATTTATATTTGCTTGATTTCTCAGAGCAAGCTGACAGTTTAGTCTGTTTAAATGAATAACTGTCTTTCCAGGACCGTACTGAAGAAACAAAGGCAGATGAAGTGGGCAGGCTTGCCATTAAGCAGTGTAAATTAAAAAGTAGCAAGTTAAAAAATAAAACAAATCAAAACTGGGGCATGGAGCAAGTTTTGACATGATAAAAATGAGAACTTAGCAAAATTTGAAGTTAGGTTAGGTAATTATGTGATGTATAAAGCTGTCCCAGGCCATGAAAGAAGGTAGTAATCTTGTAATAACTACTCACTGTGTTAGCCCTCAAACATATGAGGGGATATAAAAATATCCCTCTCAAAATATCAGGAGTAAAGCAGGACTTTGATGTAGTAGAAGGAGGCTTATCCTGTGCCTGTCTGCTGCAGAAATTCTTGCTCTATCCTGTGTAACAACTGGTGCTGGTCTCTGTTAGAAGAGTACACTGGGCCAGTTGATCTGGTGGGAGTTCCTGATAGACTTGATTCTGTACAGCTGAAGACAACTGCTTTGTTGAAAATATTCCTTCAGTTTCAAAGCTGGAGACCACATCTGCATGATGAGGAATGTTTTACTCCATGTTCCTCTTTTTGTTTTGGATTTCTATCTAAAACTTGACCTCCAGAGGGAGCGGCTAGAGCATTCTGTAGATGCAGCATCTTCTGGGAGCTGCTCCTGGCAGATGGCAGAATACAGCAGCAGCTCCAGAACAGATTCCCCTGCAACCTGTAATTGGACAGAGGACAGATGTGTATTGGGTTGCTGTTAAATACTGACTGTCTCAACTTCTACTCTGCTCCATAGGGACCCTTCTTGTTTATTTGTATTAAATGTGATAGCACTGGCATACGCTGTTTACTTCTGCATTTACATCACTGGTAACTGTCTTGTTCTGCTTTGTTTGTGGCAGAAGATAAAAGAAGAGGTATCTTCTCCTCTCAAGAACTCCAAGAGGCAGCGGGAAAAGACAGCTTCTGACACAGAGGAACCTGACAGGTCCAATGCCAAAAAATCCAAAACTCAAGTGAGTCCCACGGAGAAATTTTCTCTTAGGAGAATGGTTTGAGAGTGGGAGGGAGTGCAAACCCTGGAACAAACCAAAAACTTGAAATCAGTTTAAGCCACAGCAAATTGTAACTTAATCTGTGCCTGGAAAGCAACTAATATTGTAATGTGTTCCTTCTGTTGAAAAACAGTGGAATGACGCAGGGTAAGTCCAGAAGTCTCTTTTTTTTGTTTTAATATCAATATCAACCATACAGGATTATACTTGGATTATTTTCCACTCACTCCCTCCAGTTTTTTTTTAACTGAAATTTGTTTTTATTTGTTTTTTCCTCTTCTGTGGCAAGAAGGCTGGAGTTCTCTGCATTTAATGGTATCAAAGCTCAGCTGAAATACTTTCAGGATGTCTTTTCAGCTCTGTGTTCCTGACAAGGTTCACTCTGTGCACAGGATTTGGGCATTTTGGCACTGAGCTTTCCATGTTACAGAGTAATGGGATGGTAGAGATTGGAAGGGACCTGGAGGCCATCTAGTCCACCCCCTCTGCTCAAGCAGGGCCACCTAGAGCCGACTGCCCAGGACCATGTCCAGATGGCTTTTGAATATCTCCAAAGAAGGAGAGTCCACAGTCTCTGTGGGCAGCCTGTTCCATTGCTTGGTCACCTTCATAGTAAAAAAGTGTTTCATTATGTTCAGGCAGAATCTCCTTTATTTCCCTTTGTGCCATTGCCAATGGACACTGCTAAAAGAGCCTGGCTTCGCTGTGTTTGCACCCTGCCTTTGGATATTGATGTTGCCTGTGCTGTTTTAAGCCCTGTGAGGTTCCAAGGGTGGTACTCACACTTGTGTTTGCACTGTGTTTAGTAGGCTGCATCCTCTGGCATGCTGGTGATGTTCTTTGTGCAGTTTTCTCATGCACAGTGGTTGTTCTTCCCTCTCTCCCTGCAGGAGATCAGCAGGCCAAACTCTCCCTCTGAGGGTGAGGGTGAAGGTGAGAGCTCTGACAGCCGCAGCGTCAATGACGAAGGGAGCAGTGATCCCAAGGACATTGACCAGGATAACCGGAGCACATCACCCAGCATCCCTAGCCCTCAAGACAATGAGAGCGACTCGGATTCATCCGCTCAACAGCAAGTGCTGCAGGCGCAGCCCCAAGCGCTTCAGGCACAGAGTGGTTCTGGCCAAGTTCCTCCTCCTACACCACCTATATCAGCCCAGTTATCAGCAT